TAAAGAATAAAAAATTGTAAATTAATTACTTTTTCGTTTGAAATACATATTAAATATTTTTATGAAAGTCCGTAGTATATATGTACATATGTATATGACTTTAAATATTTACATCATTACACGAAAAGTTAGTATGTACTACCTTATCAGCTCCCATTTATCAGTGTTTACCACCCACGCATGCCACGCAACAACCAAGTTTATTTTACCATGAATTATATAAATAAAAAAGGACTGCGTGTGAAAGTGAAATTAGCCAAAAATATTAAAAGACGTCCAAAAAAATAATAATAAATGAACACAAAAACATTTTTTCTCAATGGCGCTTCTGCCATATACTTAAGTATGTACATACATACCTACAATTGTTTGTATAGGCTGTGGTAGCTTTAATGCAAATAAATATGTAAGAAATTTTTCATGAACTTTTCTAACAAAAGCGACCAACCAAACAGTCTGCAAGAATTGATCATCGCGAAAAGACGTCAAAATCAAAACGCTCGCAACATATTCCAATGTGTACATATATATACAATGTCATATAATATGTGCATATTATATACATATAAAATTAGTTCTATAAGCATTAGTGCATGTGTAAGGGCTTAGCTAGCACCTAAGCCTCATAAATCAAAACTTAACTGCTGACAGTAAAGTGCAATATAAAAATTAAAGCTAAAAAGTAATAAATACTTTTCGCCGCATTCGTCTTCACAGGTGCGAATTCATTTGCGCTTGCAAACGAAGAAAAAACAAAAATTACTGCTATCTTACTTACCTTTTCCACAACTCCGTAACGCGAGTGCCGTATATTTTGAAAGTGCGCATCGGTGCAACGATCAACCACAGTGATAGTGTGGGTACCCATCACCTCGCATTCGCACCCAGCGACAACTTATGTACATATGTATGTATATATTTGAATTAGTCATTGGGTTATTTTGATTTCGATTTGTTTTTTCAGAGATAACCAAAGTGACGTTTTGGCCTCTTAAAAAAATATAGAAAATAAATTGTATTAGCGGAGAAAAAAATAAATAAAAAAGAGTACAAGCAATCAGTGCTAATAATAAGAACAATAATAAGTTACGAACGAAGGTGAGAATGCCCTGCTATAAGAAATGTAAATCGAGCAATGGCTCAGATGCTGATGATGAGAACATGGTGAGTAAGAAGTCGGTAAAAATGATAATCAGTTTGAAATCAAAGTAAACATACTTTCATACATACAAACTATGTACATATTACAAATACATACATTGTACATATTACATATGTGAGTAAATATTTGCTGCATGTTGAAATATTTGGCAACAAACATTCCATGCTTATGGTTCTTAAGCTATTAATTATTATTTTATAGCACCTTTAGGTGACTCCCTTACACACATATGTACATATGTATATACAATTTTTTATAAATATGCATTCGAATATTTGGAAAAATATAGTAAGACAATATGTATGTATGTATATATGTATGTTTGTTAGTGCAGCAGCACGCATGTTCTAAAATTAAGCTAAAAGCTTATCAGCAAAGTACTGATGTGTATGTACATATTATATGTACACATCTATCAATAATAAAGCACAGCTCGTCCGGAAGAAACGTCATTGAATTGGCCAAAGCAGTGTAAACAAATTGGGCCAACATTAATTTTAGTCAGTCGCACAAGTTCAAGCGGAACATAACGCAAAATCTACAAAAAAGCACGCACATATACTACATACAAACACACATGCGCACAGTAGTGCAAAGACCTCAACACCCCCAATTGGCGCTCATACATATAACTTGGATATTGCCCACAGAGGGTCCAGCTTTTGCTCAACGTAAAGCAAAAACAAAACAGAATATGATAAACAACGTGTAAGCAGTAAGTACAGATGTTGAGCAGAGGTGAGCTAAGCGAAAATTAATGAACGCGCTGCTCGGCATGAGAGCGAGGAGACTGTGTATACTGAGTAGGAACAGTAAGCAAGAGCTAAAAATAAAAGACAGTTTAAAGCGCAACTTCCATTATGGCCGCACTGGCATTTTGTGTGTGCAGTGCACTAGAGCAGTTCTGTGATTTCGCGGATGCATTTGTGCGTTTCGGTTTAAGTGCAAGTAGAAGTTTCCAGTATCTGCGTGCCAAACGTAATCAAATTGAGTTTCGACGAAATTGTCGCGCTATCTGGCTGCAAGAGTTATCCCACAGACACGCATTATCAGTGCGAATTGTGTACGAGATATTACGTCGTGTGCGTATACCCTTGACTAGTGCCAATTACGTGGATCACACCATCGAATTAGTTAAAAAAGAAATGCATCGACGAGGCATCGATTTTGCCGCTATCGAGGCATCGGCCGAAGCTTATGAGGCCATTGATAATTTTGCGGTGCAACGCCGGTCTTTAGCAGGTCAAGATTCGACGGATGGCGGACACCGGGACTATGACATGGTGGATAATTATGATGACATTGAAGTGCTCAGTGGTGATGAAATTGATGTATGTACCTTGTATTTATGAATTTCTTAGTATTGTTGAATGTGGCGATAATATAAGTGATTTTGAAGATGTATTGCGCTCAAGTTAAAAAACAATTATCTCATCAGCGAATTTAGCCAGTTTAACTACGTAGTTATAACCAATTTACACATTTTTAATGGATTTTAGTATTCCCCACCCCTCTGTCAATTATAATATTATAGTTTTTTGACACCCATATGATTTTTACATTTTTTGTTTTTATTTGTACTTCTTTTTTCTCTAGTGGTGTGATAAACGTCAGATTATTGATTTCTCTTTTGATGCTTGCCTTCGTAATGGTGTTGCCATATAACAGAAAGAAATGTAAATTCAGAGAACGTGTACCAGAGAACGTATAATTTATTTAATAATTGAGACAAAATTAAACAGAACGAATTAAAATTTAAAGGAGAATAAGTATTATTATTATTCGGATTTCTCACCTCTCTGCAATATTGTAAACATTTTGCCATTTTTATAAATTTACTTCAGAGAACGTCTATCATGATATGATATGATAGACGTTCTCTGTTTACTTTATACGTTCTCTAGTGTACGTTCTCTGTGCTGCAATGCATGCTTTTAGGGGCATAATGCAAGAAATGTGAAACCAAAATAAATGAGCTTTTTGTATACGGATATGTGTATGTTTGTCAACGGCAACGGAAAATACAGTCATGATAACATTATTTCCGTTTATTTTGTATATATTTTTATAAATCCTTCGAAAAAACGAAAGAGAGACACAATCCATGACCTTTGACACTTGTTGATTAAGTGTCACCCACTCGCCATAACACTCTGCTTTTATTGTTATTTTAACCAAAAGTGATTGCAAAATGAAAAGAGAAGCAGGAGACTGATAAGCATAAGACGCCAGCAGCACCACAACACGACTTGAGTAGCCGTGAGTAGACCACGCACAACAAAAATTTGAAGAGCTTTCTTATCGGCTGGTAAACAGTTTACACATGAATTCTACACACTTACACTTACAAACACACCTGCAAATGTACCACCAGCGCTGTAAAGCAATGGCGCTCTGAGAACATTTAGAATAAATGAAGGCATGTAGTTTCCTCTTATACATATACATACATATGTATGTATTTTATGTACATATACTTTAATCAAAAACATTTATTTTAATACATACAAGTGTGTGCGCTCAATGTCTGTCTGCGGTTGTAAAATAAGGCATGAGAAAGTTAGATGTTGAAATCAAAACAATAGCGAATACTTGTACTCGTTAGAATTGGCAATAGTTTTAAATGAATTTGTTTTGATTAGACACGCTACATGCGGTAGTTGAAAATATATAAAAACAAAAAAAAAGGTTAACAGGAAATCGCTATTTTGAAATTTTTAAGTGATTTTAGGGGTTATGGGGGTATGGGTTTCCTCGGTTAAAAAACAGCATTTTTTCAACAATTTTTTTCTCATATAAAAAATAAAATATTTTATTAGAATTTTTTACTTTAACAAAGAAATTCTCAAATTTTTGGAAAAATAATGTTATAAACTCGTCCTTTGCGACGCCATTTTCGGTGCCCCCTCGGCAAAAAGATGCGCACGCGTTGGCAGCATAACTGCTTACGGGATCATCTAAAGTGAAAAATTCGTATTTTAGTTAAAACCTTAACTTAGAAATTGAGTGAACGAAAAAAACTGAAAATTGGTTTTTAGCAGATATTTTTACAAAAAATATTAAAAATTTCAGTGCCATTTTTTTTCTCAAATACATGCATAAATAGTTGTAATCGAAAAAAATCCTTCTTCCAAGTCTTTAAAATTTGTATCTTGAAGACCTTTGTCAAATTTTATAAAGATCAGTGTAGTAGTTTAAAGATTTGAGCCAATCGAGATCTAGCCTCGAGCGCACTCGTTCTCGAGTATTGCTCGTATCAACTTGAAAACTTAGGACAATGAGAAAAAATCGAGTTTTGATACCCGTAAACCCAAGTAACCCCTTAATTTGTACAGAAAACCTCATGATGATCATCATCTTGAAGTTTTTCACTAATTAATAACCTTAAGATACTGATGACTACAAGTACAGTCTAGGATACACTCTTCCTTGTCTTAAACACACTTGTTAGTCTGACATCTGGAAAAAACCTGTCGGTGTTTGGACTGAGTGCAATTCTGTCAATGGTTTCGAGCAGTATCGCCTGTATGTATATACACGTTTGTGTAGAAAAAGACCTAAACAGCCTCTTTGACGCCAATGGTTTTATGGCTTACACAAAACTTCGATAATACTTGAAGTAGGGTATCATGATAGCACAGTGACTCGTATTTCAAACGCCTTAAAGCGATGGGAAGGGTTGTTCCACTTACCTACTTGTGTTTGCATGTTTGTATGTATGTATGTGTAATGGCAAATAACAGTGTCGCTTGCTCGAAGTAAGAGACGCGAATAAGTGAAGCTTTTCTTGCTGCCTAACAGCTTTCTGTCTCATTGCACATACAGGCATACAGACATTCAATTGAACAGCCGCTCCGCATGGGAGCTGCTCAATGTTCAACAAAGCGATTATCTTCAGTCAAGTTGCATATTTGCACGGCAAAACATGTCGTAGAGGCATGGAAAGCATGAAATCAACAACAATAACAAGAATAAAGCTGGCGAAAAACACAACAAGCACTTTGTCGACAATTAAACGAATTTTATAGCAGCAAAGCATTAAAAATATTGACATGAATTAGTGAATTTTCGAAAACTAGCAAATGGAATTTTGTAATGCGAAGCGACTTGCGAACAAAAGCACATTTGTAAGACGAAAATAAATGCTGAGGCGTCGCAGCACAAACGAAATGGCAATCGATTTTTTTCGATGCTGACGATTTCGCAGCCAAACTTGGTAGAACTCGGTGGAAGGTGAACGCGAAAACCAACGCAACTCAGCGCAAACGGCGGCTCGAGCACGCGGCGCGACTGTGATTCAACACAAATCAAACAAAAAAGGCAACTTTACGCCAAAAAAATAATACCTTTAAGTCGTAGCTAAATTTTTCAAACTTTTGCAGCACGTAGTTAGGAAATTTATATATGTATGTGCGTTTGTGTGTGTGTGTGTAATACAGTGTTTCAAATTGACACGCCTGCTAAGCAAATCTTACAAAGTAAAACAAATTAATCTAATACTACCGAAGAGAGTGAAACGAAATCGATAAAAAAGTGTTATTTATTTATAGCACACGCGAGAAACAGCTGTACAGCAGCAACAACAACAATATTGTTTCTTCGATTTGTTGTTATTAACAAGTGGAAGATAAACAAACAGCGAGTGAATGACTAACGCAAATCTTCGCTAACTTTATTAACACACTATAAAGTATATGCGCAGCACAGCTTTGCAACAACAACAGCAACAACTGATAAAATAACATAAACAAAAAAACAAACGTAAATGCCAAGATCAAGCGAGGCAGCCAGTCCAATATTTGTAGGTTAGAATAACATTGCAAAGCAGAAAGCAAAAGAAATTCATTGTTGTTGTACGTGAGCGTCGCTGTAAGCCGGCAAAACGCGCTGCTGTGATTCATGCAACGCCAATTTTCATATTTGAAATATTTGGCAGGTTGTGCTTGCCGAGCGCACTCAAATTGCCTTATGAGCTGAAGCTCAAAAAGAAAAGTTGATAATTGATATTTGGCGGAGCGTAGCTAAATCTTGAAGGGAAAGCACCGCATGCCCACAAAGTGATGACACACCAAGAACAACAAAGATTATGCGTGTAAATATATATGTACCTACATTGTGTGTTGTTATTTAATATTAATAAAAATACAAAAATAAAAGCAAATCGCCATACGCAACACGCCCCTTACCAAAAACCGCATAACTAAAGATAACGGATATCTCATCGTTTGAAAACCGTTTTCAACAATCAGCTCAGCCTAGCTGCTTGCTTGCGTTTGAAAATCAAGACCATATAGATTTTGGGTTGTCTTCACACTCGCAACTGAAGCTCGCGCACATACACATAAACAGTTAGAAAGTCCTTCACCGCGACGATTTTATGCAGCTGTTCTACTTTTCTGTTCTCAAGTCTAAGTTTATTGTTTTTGGCTGCCACGGCTAACAAAAAATTATCCTTTACAAATTAAAAAAAAAATAATAAAACAATAAAAAAATCGTTTACATACAAAACCAAAAAAAAAAGTAACAAAAGAAAATTAAATTGAAAACAAAAAGAAAATTTTTTAAATAACTTTGGAAAATTTTCGAAAATTATAAAATGTGCTTTCGTGGTATTTTCGATTGCCTCTTCGGCTGTTGTAAGTCGAATAACACACATGGTCTAAATGAGGTAAGCCGCAAATATGGGTATTCTACATACTTTATTACAACAACAACATGCGACAACAAGTGCTGCTGCAAGCTTTGTAGCTCGAGCACATGCTTGTTATTTATAACGGTTTGATTGCATGCTGTTGTGAAGATAGAAAGTTGTATGTCGGTAAACGCTTATTTTCATCTCAGCGGCTGACAAAAGCGTTGCTCGTAATTAAAACTTTTCAATTAATTGCATTTCTAGTAATAATTAATTTCCATGCCCCACTTTTTTATAATGCGAAATAGAGGTTAGGCTGTTTGTGCTGGTCCATTCAAAAGGCAGGTGGCGAAAAGAGAACTATATTCGAGTATGATTTAAGGTGATGATGAAGTCAGCTATTGCTATGGAAACAGTAGCAGAGTTCAAAGGCTACAATTCCAGTCCGAACAAAACTTGCTGCTGAGATCGCTGGTGACCAAACCGGCTCCGATTCAACACTTCATTTCCTTATAAATATTCTGATCTAGAAAAGTAGCCTCAAATTCTTTTATTAATAAATATCTGTATAGGATGTTAGAAATTGCATATATTCCCGTATAGAAATCAAACAATTTCGTTCAAGGCCTCTGATTTATGCAAGATCTGTTATATAGGTATACTTTGTGAGTAATACTAGCGTCATAATCCCCTTTCGTATCTGTAACGCCTCATAAACACTGAGAGAGGAGGCTCTTTTTGTTGTCTGAGAAATTTGCTCTAGTTGAGTATACGCCCGGGCAGCCCAATGTACAACTTTTCCGTGTTCCTAGTACTGCATATAATTTTCTTTTCTTTAATTCTTCTTACCTTACAAAGCGTTCTCATTAATATTCTGCACACTGTACACCGAACATAAATAAAGGCGAACGTGTGCGCTGTCAGTTGAGCTGCGTTATACCGAGATGACGGCATTAGCGGTTAATAATAAAATGAATGCAACATATAATACTAAAATTAAATAAATATATTTGTACATATACATACATACAAATTAAATGTTTTTTCGCGCAATAACATTGTGCTGGGTAAATATGTGTTGTCCGTATGTAAATGTTGTTGCTTTCTGAGCAATTGTGTTTGAATGCTAATTTGCAAAAGCAAACATGCGCACATACATACAAATGTGTGCGAATTTGATACGCGATTCTAAATTTATTCCATTGTGTATTGATTGTCATGCATTTATATTTACTTACTAAGTTGACTCATTTCTGTTTAATTGATTTTAACGCAACTTCGCATCCCTGACTCGGTATTGACCCCGTTTAGTTTAAGTCCTCGGTACAATTCTGAAAATTTAATAATTTTGGATTTTTTTTGCTGCTTCCAAAGACGAAAATGTCATTTAAAACAATGAACAGAGAAAATTAAAAAAATTCTTTAATCAATTATATCACCAAATCAACGAAATAATTACTTGTGCCGCCTGTGTTCTAGTCAAGAGACAAGAATTTCAGATAATTTTTGAAGTGTCGTAAAAAACAATTAATACTTTTACTATCCATTGGTTCATTAGTTATTTACTAACATTGCGGAAATAATCGGAAAAAAAATTAAAACTTTCAAAAACTAGCAGCTGATAAAGTAATGTGTCTCAAAAAGTGACTCATGATCATACCCGTAATCTGAATCTAATAAGCCCAAAATTATTAGTTTAGAATAAAGTCGTAATTACTTGAATTTTTCAAGAAATGGAAACCGCCTGAAAAAAAAATTAATAATTCTTATTATAAAAAATAAAACTTA